CGAATTCGGATTCGGATTCGGATTCGGATTTGGATTTGGATTTGGCAAATGATTGATTGATAATATTTTTGGACTAAAATTTATTTAATCAATCTTGTTAAATCATTTCCTTTTCTCTTTATAAATTAATTCAGAATGTTGGTTAACTAACAGAATTAATTTTGGCGCAACTGAATTTATTTGAAATTCATGTGTAACGGTAATCCTTCCGAAAAGTCGTTACTTTCCGAAAAGTCGTTACTTTTCCAAACGGTTTTCCTTCCGAAAAATCGTTACTTTTCCCAAAGGACACAATGTTCTGGAAAAAAACGGGTCTTTTCTGAACAGACGCGTTCCTTGCTGCATATGGCTATAAATAAGAGATCTTTTTCGTTTTTTTAAAAACACTAAAAAAATTTTCCTCTCTGCATACATTTTCTCTCATAAATAAAATTGTCGATCGACAGAGTCTGTGTGTGCTCTTGTTACTGTTCTTGCGTTCGCTGAAGTTATTGAAGTTTTGAGATACCGCTACTTCTTTAACAGGTTAATCCGTTTTATCTTGGGAGAAATTAATCTGCAACCTCGGGTACAGTGAGGGGATTAAATTTCTTAAGGAAACACAGTGGTTTCTGTTGGACTCGGATTAAAACTAATTCTGTCTGTTTCATCTTTTTTCTGTTTCTGTATTTTTTGACTAACCTGGACACAGGAGATAACAAACTTGTCCTTGCTGTCTCCCTGCTCAATATTGCCCCGGTTCAGCTGCCCGCAACAAGGTAATCAACTCGTAATCCCTTGGTTGTCTTAAGTTCACTGTGTCGGTTTAGTGTATTATTCCTTGGGGATTTTGAGATGAGCTTATATGGTATGTTCAGTTTGATATTATTCTCTTCATCTTATTGTTGCTGAAATGGGGTAACGCGCGTTCATTTTCAAGATGGATTAACGCTCGTTTGGGCTTATATCTCTGTATGCGCTCTTCTTGAATTTATGACCGTGATGCTCACCTTAAATCTGTCTCGTCCATTTGCTAACCTATGAGATGCTGTCCTGTTCCTTTCTTACAGTGATTTTCATATCTTGTTACATGTCTTGAAAGTGTCAAAGGATTTGTCTCACTATCCTTGAGTTTATTTTCGAGTTTAGATCGCTAGTGTTGCCTAAATCAGTCAAGTTTAATTTTATTGCAGTTGTCTTGTGACTTAATGTGATCCTTCCATTTCTTTTTATTTTATTTTTTATTATTACTTTATTTGGCTTTGTCTACTGTTATTAAATGCTATCCCCATCTAGTTCAAGTGTATAATTTTTAGAAAATGTGTGCACAGCTCCATTTGCTTGGAGTAAAAATATGAGTAGTCCTTTGCATTCAAATGAGTTCTTTTTTTTATATAGAGCGATGCTGCTTGATGTCTATATTTCTTTAATTAAGCCGAAATTTTGGATTTGTTTCCGGCATAAGTTTAAAGTCTAGACTAGGGTCGTTCCTGTTTTAGTGTTAATCTCATAGGAACACATAAGGTGATGTCTTTAATTTTATTTGGATCTATAATGTGGTTTACATATATATATATATATATATAATTATGCTATGCATTGTATGTTTTTCCAGCTGCTTTAAAAGTTCCATTTACTAATTCGTTTCTTTCTTTTCTTTTGTTATGAATCGCGTTCGAGTCCCTTTTGGACTCCCTCTTTGCATATCCTCGAGTCTAAGCTCGATTCTGCTTCGTCGATCCAATAAAGTTGAAAAAGAAGCTAAAATACAGGGTAAATGGAAGCAAAAAACGCAGGGAAAGGCTGGTATACACTGGTATACAGATTTTGTATACATGGTATACACGGAAAAAGCAGCGATATACAG